ATTGTGTGCAGAAGGATCTCTCACTGTCTCTCATCTCATCTCTTTCGATGCTATCAAGGCTACACTTTGCAAAGCGTTAAGTGTTATAAAGTAGTGTTATGGAGTTGGATTGGATTGGATTGGATTGGATTGGATTGGTTATGGATTGGCTATGGATTGGCTATGGATTGGCTATGGATTGGCTATGGATTGGCTATGGATTGGCTATGGATTGGCTATGGATTGGCTATGGATTGGCTATGGATTGGCTATGGATTGGCTATGGATTGGCTATGGATTGGCTATGGATTGGCTATGGATTGGCTATGGATTGGCTATGGATTGGCTATGGATTGGCTATGGATTGGCTATGGATTGGCTATGGATTGGCATTGGATTGGCTATGGATTGACTGAATTGGATTGGATTGGCATTGGATTGGCTGGATTGGCGATTGTGGCCGATTCGCTTAAAGGATTCACCCATTGTAAGCTCATTCTTCATCTTTCTTCATCTTCATCTTCATCTCTATCCTCGTTTTATTCATTTTTAACTTAATACTCTAATAGAATAGAATCTTCTTTTATCTTCTTTAATAGAAAACCTATAGGAGCGTCACGTAGTCTAGGTTTAGACTTAAAAAATCAGATCATGACAATAGTACGTTTGTTTCTATCGCTCAAATCTCGATACTGGTACCTTTGTTTCTATCGCTCATTTCTCGACATCAGTACATTTGTTTCTAAGTGTTTTGGGTATCAAATTAAAGTAGAAAGATAGGGGAATTTTTTGAGCTATAATACAAATCTTTAGCATTAACCAGTAATTAGAAAAACATGCTTGAAAAATGATGAAAAAGTGGCAAAAGAAGCTGATTCTCTCTTATTATTGTCTTCTCATTATTTTCTCTTCTCTTTCTCTTTCTCTTCTCTTTCATTCATATCTCTCTTATCCTTTTCTATTCCTTTCCTTTCAACCTTTCCTTTCAACCTTTCTTGTGGCTACCCTGTTCTTGTGGCTGTCCCTGTCTCAACCCCTTTTCCCCTTTATCCCCTTTATCCCCTTATCCTTATCCCAAGTCCCCTATTGTCACAACATCGTCCCACAATCCTTTGAAACAATCCTTTGAAACAATCTTTCAACCATTTCAACTCTAAGTATGACTTTTATAAACAATTGAGTAAGTATGATAAGCTTGATAGTTAACTTGATAAAGCTCACCAGTATATAGGTTACGTCTGATCTAGAAATCCGTCCGATCTAGACTAGTACTAGATCAGACATCTGACTAGATCAGATGTCTGATCTAGAGTAAAGTGAGGTTAAACGTTTGATCTAGAATCAAGTCGATCATATTAAATCTAAGTCTGGATCGGACTAGGAGTGATCGACTTAGGCTTAGGCTCACATTCTTCGTTTGACCCTCACTTCATTCTAGATCGGATTGGATGGATCTATAGATTGGATGGATCTCTAGATTGGACGGATCTCTAGATTGGACGGATCTCTAGATTGGACGGATCTCTAGATTGGACGGATCTCTAGATTGGACGGATCTCTAGATTGGACGTAACATATACACATTAGGCTTAGGCTTACATTTTAGACCTTGAGATACTGAACTGAACTGACTGAACTGAATTGACTAAACTGACTGACTGACTGACTGAACTGACTGACTGACTGAACTGAATTGACTAAACTGACTGACTGAACTGACTGACTGACTGAACTGACTGACTGACTGAACTGACTGACTGAAATGTACTGACTATAGAATATTGAGTGGCAGTCGATTTCTTGCAAACTTCGTTCCAAATTTCGTTCCAAACTTTGCTTTCAATCTCTAGGTTTTTCATTGCTGGACTTGAGATTAAATTCATGTTTCTGTTGTTCAGTAATTCACTCGGTTTCTAGTATCTGAGCCTGATAACCTATGGTTATAGCGAGCTAGAGTAAAGCCAAGATTTCTCTCTGGTATTTAAATTATTCCTCATAGACTGTCTAGAGAAATAGTTTTAGCTTAGCTACAATTAGCTTTAGTTTTAGCTACAATTTTTATTCAATTCTCACTAGTTTTCCTTTTCGCATATCCCATTTTTCTCTTTTTCCCTCTCTTTCTCTCTCTTTCTCTCTCTCTCTTTCTCTCTCTTTCTCTTTCTCTCTCTTTCTCTCTCTCTCTCTTTCTCTTTCTCTCTCTTTCTCTCTCTTTCTCTCTCTTTCTCTTTCCTTTTCTTTCTTTTACACATCATTTTCTATTTATATGCATTTATGAGCATTGTTTTTTTTGACTTTTTCTCTTAAAATCTTCTTTAGATCATTCTAATTCTCTTAATTCTGTTGAACTTTGTGCTTTGTGCTTATAAATGTAAATGCACCCATTCTAGTACACTCAATTCTTTACTTTTCTTATAATTTTGCTACAAGAATGGCGGATTTATTGCACCAAAAACGATACATCGGCTCTTGTGTAGTTTCCAGATATTTTGAAAGCGTCGTCACACTTTGAAGGTCTATAACTTTGTCTAGAGATAATATATTGGCTAACTTTTTATACCATTGTAAAGAGGAGATTTCAGGCTTTCAAATGATACTAAATAGAGATTGATTGGATAATCCAGTCCAGAACAATCAGAGCCAACTCTGGGCAATGAGGTCTATCTGACTCTAGTGTTGTGTCGCCAGAGTTGGCTCTGATTGTTCTGGACTGGATTATCCAATCAATCTTTATTTGGTATCATTTGAAAGCCTGAAATCTCCTCTTTACAATGATATAAAAAGTTAGCCAAAATATTATCTCTAGACAAAGTTATAGACCTTCAAAGTGTGACCTTCAAAGTTATAGACCTTCAAAATACCTAGAAACTACACAAGAGCCGGTGCATCAAATAAAGCTAGATATTCAGTCAAGTCTACTGTAGCTAGACAGACAGACTGTCGAAATATTCGTCTATTACAGTACCACTGCTTTTACTAGCTATTCATAATGCAATCTTTTCGATTCCCATACGAAAATCGGTTTCCCCAAACATCTCCGTGCTTCTTTTCTCATTCCCATACGGTCATTTGTGCTATGGAATGTAAAGAAGTATGTAGATTGGACCGATCATTGAAAAGACCCCATTTTATTCTGTAATTTTGTTGTAAACATATCATTTCTAGTGCACTCAATCATTTCTATTGCACTTTTGTCATTGTGAGTAACAGTAACAGTTATTTTCGGGTCATCTGGTGACCTCAACAGATTCGATTGGGAAAAGAGTGCTGTAAATGGTTGACTCTCTGTTCCTGGATCTGTAAATGACCGGTTTTCGGTTCCTGGATCTGTAAATGACCGGCTTTCTGTTCTCGGATCTGTAAATGGTCAGCTTTCTGTTCCTGGATCTGTAAATGGTCGTCTTTCTGTTCTCGGACCTGTAAATGGTTGGCTTTCTGTTCCTGGATCTGTAAATGACCGGCTTTCTGTTCCCGGATCTGTAAATGGTCGGCTTTCTGTTCCTGTATCTGTAAATGGTCGGCTTTCTGTTCCTGGATCTGTAAATGATTGTCTTTCTGTTCCCGGATCTGTAAATGGTCGGCTTTCTGTTCCTGGATCTGTAAATGGTCGGCTTTCTGTTCTTGGATCTGTAAATGGTCAGCTTTCTGTTCCTGGATCTGTAAATGATTGTCTTTCTGTTCTCGGATCTGTAAATGGTCGGCTTTCTGTTCTCGGATCTGTAAATGACCGGCTCTCTGTTCTCGGATCTGTAAATGATCGGCTTTCTGTTCCTGGATCTGTAAATGGTCGGCTTTCTGTTCTAGGATCTGTAAATGGTCAGCTTTCTGTTCCTGGATCTGTAAATGGTTGTCTTTCTGTTCTCGGATCTGTAAATGGTCAGCTTTCTGTTGAATGATCTCAAATTGTGACCAAAACCAGCAAATTTCTTCCCAGAAAGATTATTACAACCTTTTCTTTGATTAGATGAATGAACGTTGATTGCAAGCTCTCATTACCTTTGTAAATTGCAAGATATTGAGAATGAGATAAGACGATTGTTTTTGTCAGATTGTCAATTGATTGATCAATTGATTGATCAAATTGTCAGAGCCTTAGTTTGTGTTTTTTTAGGTTTTCGAAGGCGAGAAATTCGATTGGAGATGGATTCTTTTCTCAACCAACTTTACGCGTATCAAGTCTTGAAGAAGCTAACTATTGTCTTCTCAAGTCTTGAAGAAGCTAATCTCGTCTGCCTTTCTCGTCTTGAGAGCATTTCTTCTCAGTCTTGAGAGCTAACTATTGTCCTCTCTTCAGAGCTGTATTTCTTCTCAGTCTTCAAGAGCAGCTATTGTCTTCTCAAGTCTTCAAGAAGCTAACTATTGTCTTCTCAAGTCTTCAAGAAGCTAACTATTGTCTTCTCAAGTCTTGAAGAAGCTAACTATTGTCTTCTCAAGTCTTCAAGAAGCTAACATACCCATTAACGACGGTCTAAAGTTGATTTGGGTAAGCTATATCGGTAAGCTAAGTTGGGTAAATGGGTGAGTTGAAGTTGGGATGACTGTTCGTCTCTCAATCAATGTTGTTGATCGAGCTAAAATCGGCTCGTCGTCTTCGGTGGATGCTTTACATCAGCTTCTCACAAAGAATTGAGTTTTTAAGCTTAGGTTTTGTTAAGTTAAGTTGTTTCTTCAGTTTTTATCTTGATTTTCATTCATAAATCTTTAAGATTTAAACGGAAATCAATTTGAAATCAATTTGAAGCCACGGAAATCGATTTGAAGCCACGAAAATCAATTTGAACCGGTCGACGGCAATTTTCTCTTTTCTAATCACTCCAATGATCACTTTTATTCATAAACTTTTCAAAAGAGCACACAAAAAAGAAAAATGTCAAAAAAATGTCAAATTTTCAAATAATTCATCTCAAAATAGACAAAAACTCGGGTCTTTTTTTGTACAGATATCGGAATTTCTTTTTTTTTTCATTGTTTTCTTTGTTTTCTTGGTTTTCATTGCTTTCATTGCTTTCGTTGCTTTCTTTTTAAAATGGAATCGGTTTTGATGTGAATGTTGGTGTTGTTGTTGGAGAAGTTGTCGTTTTCTTTTGTGGCAAATCGCTGAAATTGCTTTTTGTGGGTTTTTTCTGGCTTTCTTTGGCTTTTTCTGCTTTTTAAGAACAAATTTCAAATAAGAAATACCTAATTTTCTCTAGCAAAGCCACCATTTGATCGTAGATTTCGGCGAGTTCAGCGTTGTGATGGAAATCGCGTTGTCTGCAATGGGACTTTGGACTTTGGGCTTTGTACTTTGGGCTTTGGACTTAGGACTTAAGACTTTGGACTTAGGACTTTGGACTCAGGACTTAGGACTTAAGACTCTGGACTTAGGACTTAGGACTTTGTACGTTGTACTTTGTACTCTTTACTCAATGATGTTGAGTTCAATAACCCAAAATCCCCCAAAATCCTCCAAAATCCCTCAAAATCCCTCAAAATCCCCCAAAATCCCCCAAAATCCCCCAAAATCCCCCAAGAAACCTCACTTTGCCATCACTTTTGTTTCTCGATCCAGAAAAGCGCGCACTTCTCCCAATTGGCGACGAGCAAGCGTGTGCTGACAAAGGAGAACACCTAGAAAAGAGCAACAACTTTTTATAAAACCTAATATGATGATCAGAAACGCATTGGCTAGCTTTGGGCTAAGTTTCATCCTGATCTAATCACTGGATCTTCAAGCAGAAGCCTTTTTTTGAAACCAATCAATTTGGACTCTTTGATCTTCTGTAAACTCGATTTTTCTGATCAACATTTCCTGCAAAATGCTGGCAATGTAAAGTAGATATCTTCACCTCTAGATCTTCACCTCTAGATCATCACCCAATCACCACCTCAGATTCACCCAGACTTCACCTCTAGACACACCCAGGGCCCCACCCCTAGACCACCACCACCACCCCCCAGATCCACCCAGACCACCTCTAGAGCCCCCCCCCCCGATCTTCACCTCTAGATCTTCACCTACCAGCTTTGAATCTTCTAGCCGATGCTCGATTCCCATCCTTTTGTGTCTCTTGATAGATTGTGGCTGAATTGTGAGCGATGATTAAAGAAAGAGCTTCAGTGATTGAATGAAGTCCGTCCAGCACATCCAACCAACCCTTTGTCGTCTTTGGGGAGAGCTGAAATCAGATAGAGTTTAGCTGGATCTATTGTCATTTAGCTGGATCTAAATCAGCTAAAGTACTACCTAAATCCAGTTCTAACAGTACTCCAGTGCACTGGGTAATCTAATGCATGCTATCAAATGTGCCAGGGCTACCAAATGGACTATCAAATGGCCTGGGGGCTACCAAATAAGCTCAAATCCTAAACTACTTCGTTTCCTTTCCCAAACCTGTTTCCAATCGAACACTTTTCCTTTCAAAACACCCACAACATGCTCGAAAAGGTCACGAACTTGGTCAAGCTTTTCTTGAATTTAAGTAAATATTCATTTTCATACCAATTTTCATACCAATATGAAAATCGCTAAACTCATCGTCGACAATGAATTGCATGATTCGATCGAAATGTGTCTTCATATCAAGGGGATCGATTGATTGGCATTTCATTGAACTAAAGCCATTGGAACTAAAGACATTGAACTAAAGGTCTTGAACTAAAGTCTTGAACTAAAGGTCTTGAATTGAATTGTCAGATCAAACCAAATCAAATCACAAACCGTTCATCAAATCCGCTCTCACTTCTTGATTCCAATCGAACTGCTAATGTGTTCAAAACGGCCAAACTCTCCGTCTAAATATCTATGCTATGTCTGAACCTGATCCAATTTCTTAGCATTGGATTCTGGATCCAATTCTGGATGCACTGGATCCAATGAACATGGTGCAGACGTCCGAATCTGTCCTTGGGTACCTTCAGCACAAACTACGGACTCCGAAGTACCTTCGGCACTTCGGAAACAAAGTTTCTGGGGGATGGGGCAAAGCCCGAACCGTCCAAGACTAGTGTCAACGAAACTTCCCAACTTTAAGCACTGGCCACCATCAAGCCCTGATTGAAATCCGATTAATTACTTAGTCTGGAGTGTTCTCAAAGTAGAAGCCTGCTCAAAAGCAGATTCAAGCATTGATTCACTGAAAAAATCACCCCGGAAAGCTTGGGCTGAACTCGTTCCTGTGTCTCTTTTGGATTCGATCCAAAGGACAGATTCGGACGTCTGAACCAGGTTCGGAAGCAACAGGTCCGAATCCGGTGCAAAGAAATTGGATCGGATTTGGACGGACGGATTTGGATGGACAGATTCGGACGGACGGATTTGGATGTACGAATTTGGATGGACAGATTCGGATGGACGGATTTGGATGGACGGATTTGGATGGACAGATTCGGATGGACGGATTTGGATGGACAGATTCGGATGGACGGATTTGGATGGACGGATTTGGATGGACAGATTCGGATGTCCGGATTTGGATGGACAGATTCGGATGGACGGATTTGGATGGACGGATTTGGATGGACAGATTCGGATGGACGGATTTGGATGGACGGATTTGGATGGACAAATTTGGATGGACAGATTCGGATGGACGGATTTGGACAGACAGGTTCGGACGGGTGGATTTGGACGGACGGATTCAGACGGACGGATTTGGATGGACGGATTTGGACGTACGGATTTGGACAGACGGATTCGGACGGGTGGATTTGAACGGACAGTTTTGGATGGACGGATTCGGACGTACGGATTTGGATGGACAGATTTGGATGAACAGATTTGGACGGACGGATTTGGATGGACAGATTTGGATGAACAGATTTGGACGGACGGATTTGGATGGACGCATTCGGATGGACGGATGGATTTGGATGGACAGATTTGGATGGACGGATTTGGACAGACGGATTCAGACGGATGGATTCGGACGGATGGATTCGGACGGATGGATTTGGACGGACGGATTCAGACGGACGGATTCAGATGGACAGATTTGGATGGACGGATTCAGACGCACGGATTCAGACGGACCCAAATCCAACTCTTTCTTTTCTCAAAATACCTCCAATTTCTTATTTTCCTCTTCTTTTTCGTTTCTCAATCTCTCTGCTTCTTCATAAATCTGGAGTTTCTCTCTGTAGAGATGGCACGTTAAACGCAGCTCGTTTAACTGAAAGTTAACATGTAGAATTGGGTAACTGAACCGGATAATCGGTCAATTGGGCAAAGCAGACTATTATTTGAAAAGCACCTCATCAATCTGTTCCTGTTCACTCTTTCTCGGCGCTTTCAATCGTTCCAATTCTTCGGCACTCGATCGAGAGCTCGAGGATCTGCAAAGGAATAGCAAAGGATGTGATAGCGAAGGATGTGATTTTCATGGAACTATTATATATTTGATCTATTAGATTTCAACGTAGATCTAATAGATTAACTAGACTGAGCATTGCTATTATTTGAATCAGATTGGACATTTCTCATTTGTGACATACATTGTCAAATTGTAGCTGTAGGATCGTCGACTCGTCGAGTGCTCATCAACAATGCGAGCCGGTGAAGAGCTGTCCTCGTCTGGAAAAGAAGAAGAGGATTAAGTCCTTCTGATGGATTAAGTCCATCAGAATTCCTTTTGATGGATCAAGTCCATCAGAAGAGGTGCGTTTACAAGAGTTAAAAGCACAAAGCCCAAAACACAAAGCACAAAGCCCAAAGCCTAAAGCCCAAAGCCCAAAGCCTAAAGCCTAAAGCCCAAAGCCCAAAGCCCAAAGCCTAAAGCCCAAAGCCCAAAGCCTAAAGCCTAAAGCCCAAAGCCCAAAGCCCAAAGCCTAAAGCCCAAAGCCCAAAGCCCAAAGCCCAAAGCCCAAAGCCCAAAGCACAAAGCACAAAGCCCAAAGCCCAAAGCACAAAGCACAAAGCACAAACCTTTAATCCCCCAATGATCATCGAATTCAGCGTTGAATTTCTTGTGATCACTTTCGGTCAATTGTTGATCGATCTCCGTCAATTGATGATCGATCTCCATTCGCTCAGCATTGTAAATGTTTTCCTGAATTCATTCAATTGCTAGAATTGCTAGAATTGCTAGAATTGGTGCCAGAAATGTAGAATTGATGAATTGATGCTAGAAAAGATGTCAGAAAACCCGAATCCAACCTTTTCTTTATGTGAATCTTCCAAATTCGGATCTCCATTCGTTTCATCGAAATCCTCTCTCATTTCCACACTCATCTCCATTTCTTTTTCTTCATCGATCACCGTTTTTGGCTCGATCACCCAATTCTCATGCAGTGTTTGCTCATCATTTTCCTTTGAATCATCAAATTCGATTGATTGATTGACTCGATTGATTTTCAATTCTTCCAGCGTTTCCTCGTTTGGATCATCCGTTTGCGTGGAAATCTCAAACATCAATTTCCCTGGATTCTGAAAAAAGTAAATTGAGCTTTTTGCTAGAGAAATTTCTGATTTTTTAGATAATTATTTTCTAGATTTCTGAAAAGCCTCATCTTATCAAAGATCTTTTCAAAGAATAGGCAAAGAATAGGCAAAGAATAGGCAAAGAATAGGCAAAGAATAGGCAAAGAATAGGCTTTCAAATGGTATCAAACGAAGATCGATCACTCCACCAGAGAGTGTCTTTGCTGTCTTTGCAAATTCTAAGCATAAAGTACTTCAACTTTCAACAAAACTTACAACAGTTGCTTCTTCAAAGAGATCATTCAGCACATTGTCCACCATTTTCTCTTCAGCATTCCTGAATTTATGAATATCGATCTATGAAGATTGATCTATGAAGATTGATCTATGAAGATTGATTTATGAAGATTGATTTGTGAATATTGATTTATGAAGATTGATTTGTGAATATTGATTTGGGAATATTGAATTATGAAGATTGATTTGTGAATATTGATTTAGGAATATTGATTTATGAAGATTGATTTGTGAAGATTGATTTGTGAAGATTGAATTAGGAATATTGATTTAGGAATATTGGATTTATGAATATTGGTAGATGAATACTATTTATGAACTTTTAGAAAGAAAAAGAGTTCATACTAGACATGGTTTCGGATTGGATAGGATTGGATTGGATAGGATTGGATTGGATTGGATCGGATTGGATTGGATTGGATCGGATTGGATCGGATTGAATCGATCGGATTGGATCGGATTGGATTGGATTGGCTCGGATCGGATTTTATCCTATCCTATCTATCCGATCCGATCCGATCCAATCCTATCCGATCCAATCCAATCCGATCCAATCCAATCCAATCCAATCCTATCCGATCCAATCCATTCCAACCCAACCCAACCCAACCCAACCCAACCCAACCCAACCCAACCCAACCCAACCCAACCCAACCCAACCCAACCCAACCCAACCCAACCCAACCCAACCCAACCCAACCCAACCCAACCCAACCCAATCCAATCGAGTCTGACTAATACAATCATTTGGTGGATTGCTAAAAACTAAACAAATCTCAATTGATGAGCAAAACGCACAACAAACTTAACCCTAAACGATTTTTAGTAAAGGCACACAAATTGCAGAGCATTTGGTGATTTTGATCAGTTTTCGGATCCTATCCAATCCAATCCGATCAAAAAAAACGGATTTTGTCGGATAAGATCCGATTCGATCCAATCCGAAAAAAACCCGTTCCAAAACGATCTCTATTTCATACCCAAAGTCCTGATCACTTTGAACAATTAGCGGGTTTTGTTGGTTGAGAGAATTTCGACGAGATGAATTTACAGATGAACTCGATGGAGAAGTGGGAAGCTGAACGATTGGACCAGCCCAGGGGAAGATCTGGAAAGAAATCGATTGTATTAATGATAGCCTGGATGACAAAATGATAGAATCTTGCTGAAGATGAGTTACTTTTACTTACAATTATAAGGCTTACTTACAATTGTAAGGCTTTTCAGAAAGACTTTTCGTTTCTTTTCGTACCTCCTTTTAAAAAAATAGCAGATTCATCAATTAACTTATGGTATGGATCTAGAATTTTTTTATTAAATTCTAAACTTTTGCCAATTACTCTAATTTTCAATATCTAGCCGTTGTGAGTTCCAGATAGCAAGATTAAATGGTTAAAATATGGAATTTATTGTGGAAAAGTACGGTAATCCCTTTACAGCTCATTTACAGTATTTCCATTCGCCTATTTCCTCTAAAGCTCATTGTTTTATTGATAGCTAACTCTCGTGAGTTCCAGATAGCAAGATTAAATAGTCAAAATATGTAAATTCTTGTAGAAAAGTACAGTAATCCCTTCGAAACTCATTCACAGTATTACAATTCGCCTATTTCCTCTAAATCTAATGATTTTACTGTTAGCTAACCGTTGTGAGTTCCAGATAGCAAGATTAAATAGTTAAAATCTGTAATTTATTATGGAAAAGTACAGTAATCCCTCCGAAACTCATTCACGGTATTACAATTCACCTATTTCCTCCAAATCTCATTATTTTACTGTTAGTTAGCCGTTGTGAGTTCCAGATAAGAAGGCTTTTTGTTAAAATATGGAATTTATTGTGGAAAAGTACGGTAATCCCTTTACAGCTCATTTACAGTATTTCCATTCGCCTATTTCCTCCAAAGCTCATTATTTTACTGTTAGCTAACCGTTGTGAGTTCCAGATCGCAAGATTAAGCAGTCAAAATATGCAAACTACTGTTGAAAAGTATAGTAACCCCTTCGAAACTCATTTATAGTATTACCAATTAACCATTTTTCTCAATCTTTGCACTAATTGTGCGGAAAATTCAGAAAAGCCATCTCATCTATTGCAAGGTATCGTAAATAAGTACTTATCGTTATCTTCTCGAGTACTGTTTCGCACTACTGAATTGTTGAAGCTGACCTCGGCTTGTTCCCGTAACTCAGTGAGCATTTCAATGGCTGATAAGCGATCATCCGTTGATGTACACCAAGATCGTTCAATTAGAGACCACAGCTGAAGTTTGTTCTTGATTGTTTCTAACTAACAATGTAAGCTAGTTTCTTTTAAAGCTTAAAACATCTCGATCGAACTCACAGCCGGCTCACAATCGATTTTCTCGGGTCGAACATCGGGATCGGCGTGCAGAATCGCCAGAATGCTGCCCATTCGATTTTCATGGGGTTTTCTGAAAGGTGATTGAGAGGTTTGAACACTTTGAGGCTTTGAACTTTGAAGCTTTGAACAGATCTTTGAACAGATCTAGTAAGATCTAGGGATTCTAGGGAATAGCGATCTAGAGAATAGGGATCTAGAGAATAGGGATCTAAGGAATAGGGATCTAGAGAATAGGGATCTAGAGAATGGGGATCTAGAGAATGGGGATCTAGAGAATAGGGATCGAAGGAATAGGGATTATAGGGAATAGGGATCTAAGGAATAGGAATCTAGTAAGATCTAGGGATTCTAGGGAGTAGAGATCTAGAGAATAGGGATCTAGAGAATAGGGATCTAGGGAATAGGAATAGAATAACAATCTAAGGAATAGAATAACAAACTTTCTCGACAACAATTGCCACATAACGATCGCACTCGCGAACACATCCATTTTTCGGTCATAGTTCTTGTGGAGGCACTGGAATGGTACTAGTGTTGCTAGTATTTTCATAGAATTCTCATAGAATTCTCATAGAATTCTCATAGACTTTCATAGACTTTCATAGAATTTCATAGAATTAACGCTAACCTCAGGTGCCAGCCAATAAGGACTCCCTTGTGCTGGTGTCATCTCGTTTTGCTCGGGTCTTGTCATACCAAAATCACACAATTTCACGATTGTGAAGTCGGCGGATAGGAGAATACTGAAATTGATTGTCTTGATGATTGGATAAAGAATTACGAAGACAAAGACAGAATTACGATAGTTGATAAAGGCTCAAGAGTACGGACACGCTTTAGAAAATGGTTAGTAGCATTTTTTCAAAAAAAAACCAACTTTCTCGGTTTCACATCCCGGTGAATAATCCCATTTTGATGCAGATGGCAGATTGCGGATAGAGCCTGGCTCATCCATCCGATTATATGCCCAATTTCGTAGCTGTAGCGGCACTCGTAGATTACTGAATAGGGATTGAACTTGAATTAGAATTGATTTGAATTGAATGAGATGAGATTAGATCTGAATTGAACCCTGGATCGGGATTGAACAGGATTCGAATTGAATCCTGGATCCGAATTGAATCCTGGATCCGAATTGAATCCTGGATCCGAATTGAATCCTAGATCCGAATTGAATCCTGGATCCGAGGTGAATCCTGGATCCGAATTGAATCCTGGATCCGAATTGAATCCTGGATCCGAATTGAATCCTAGATCCGAATTGAATCCTGGATCCGAATTGAATCCTGGATCCGAATTGAATCCTGGATCCGAATTGAATCCTGGATCCGAATTGAATCCTGGATCCGAATCGAACCGGATCCAAATTGGGCTCTGGATCCGGATTGAACCCTGGATCGGGATTGAACCCTGGATCCAAATTGAATCCTGGGTCCGAATTGAATCCTGGATCCGGATTGAACCCTGGATCGGGTTTGAACCGGATCCGAATTGAACCCTGGATCTGAATCGAACCGGATCCAAATTGAGCTCTGGATCCGGATTGAATCCTGGATCGGGATTGAACCGGATCCGAATTGAATCCTGGATCTGTATTAAATCATGGATCCGAATTGAGCTCTGGATCCGGTTCGATTCGGATCCATTGAACCCTGAATCCGAATTGAACCCTGGATCGGGATTGAACCGAAACCGTATTGGTTTGCAAGCCATTTCTGCAAAAGAAACGTTTCTGCGTTTGTGCACGAGAAAGGGTGTGTTTGCGAGCACTCGAAGAACAAAGAAGAAAATGCACTCAAAGAAGAAATGCCTACAAATGCCAATTTGCTTACAATCATGCAAATCTCCTCCCCTCATCAACTCCATGACCATTCCCGGTTGTCCGAGGTTCTGCCGGCGATGCGGGTGCCTAGAAAAGTGCATGCTTAAATCAAGCAATCAATCAGTTTCAGCTTTTCAGTCTCAGCTAAGCAATTCCCGTAAACTCACAATATCATTCCGTAAACGTGAACCATATTCGGATGAAATTGCCCAATCCTTGCCAACATTCGGAATTCTTTTTTCAACAACTCATCATCCGCCAAACGAAACGAGAATTTCACGGCCACATCGCTGAAATTTGGCTCAAATTGCTTTGCTTTGCTGAATTGCTTTCATTTGTCGCCAAATTGGGTCCATTTGACTCAAATTGGTTCCATTTGACTCAAATTGGGTCCATTTGACTCAAATTGGGTCCATTTGACCCAAATTGGTTCCATTTGACTCAAATTGGTTCGATTTGACGCCAAATTGGATCCATTTGACTCAAATTGGTTCCATTTGACTCAAATTGGGTCCATTTGACTCAAATTGGTTCCATTTGACTCAAATTGGTTCCATTTGACCCAAATTGGTTCCATTTGACCCAAATTGGGTCCATTTGACGCCAAATTGGTTCCATTTGACTCAAACTGAGTCCATTTGACTCAAATTGCTTTCATTTGTCCCAAATTGGTTCCATTTGACTCAAATTGGTTCCATTTGACCCAAATTGGTTCCATTTGACCCAAATTGGGTCCATTTGACTCAAATTGGTTCCATTTGACTCAAACTGAGTCCATTTGACTCAAATTGCTTTCATTTGACTCAAATTGGTTCCATTTGACTCAAATTGGTTCCATTTGGCGCCAAATTGGATCCATTTGACGCCAAATTGGTTCCATTTGACTCAAATTGGGTCCATTTGACGCCAAATTTATCATTTATCGCCAAATTAAGTCAGCTTTTCACTTTTGAAATGAGATTTGAAAAATCTTTAGAAAAATTGACTCTAGCAAATTTCCGGACGGTGGAAAGGGAAAGGGAAAGCTCATGCCGTCTTCAGCGTTGATGTCCTAAGGCTCAGGCTCTGTTCTAAGCCTTGAGGAAAAGGTTAACTCCTCCAGGTTTAACTCAAATAACCCCCTCCAGGGTTAACATTTTTCAAATCTCATCTCAGCTTTATTCATTTAACAGATTTGCGTATGTGCTAGTGGAAATTTAAGGAAATTTAGTGCAATATAAAACCGAAAAATTCACCCCAACAGTTTGTGCATTGCCGGAACGACCATCCCGAAAGATCCATCGTTTATCCGAGTCCCAGTCCATTCAAACTATTTTTGAAATGCAAAATGGAATATGCAAAAGGGGTTTAAAAGGTTAAAAGCATTGAATTGACATTAAATTAGCATTAAATTGCCATTAATTAGCATTAAATTAGCATTAAATTAGCATTAATTAGCATTAAATCAGCATTAAATCAGCATTAATTAGCATTAATTAGCATTAAATTGACATGAATTAGCATTAATTAGCATTAATTAGCATTAAATCAGCATTAATTAGCATTAAATCAGCTTTAATTAGCATTAAATTAGCATTAATTAGCATTAAATCAGCTTTAATTAGCATTAATTAGCATTAATTAGCATTAAATTGACATGAATTAGCATTAATTAGCATTAAATTAGCATTAATTAGCATTAATTAGCATTAATTAGCATTAATTAGCATTAATTAGCATTAATTAGCATTAATTAGCATTAAATTAGCATTAATTAGCATTAAATTAGCATTAAATTGACATGAATTAGCATTAATTAGCATTAATTAGCATTAATTAGCATTAATTAGCATTAAATTGGCATTAAATCAGCTTTAATTAGCATTAGCATTAAATCAGCTTTAATTAGCATTAAATTAGCATTAAATTAGCATTAAATTAGCATTAAATCAGCATTAAATTAGCATTAATTAGCATTAAATTAGCATTAATTAGCATTAATTAGCATTAATTAGCATTAAATTGACATGAATTAGCATTAATTAGCATTAATTAGCATTAATTAGCATTAAATTAGCATTAATTAGCATTAATTAGCATTAATTAGCATTAATTAGCATTATTGCTGATTGCATTTTAGCATAATTGACGTTAGCATTTTGGCATATGCATTAATTGCATAATTGGCATTTTAATTAATCAGCTTTAATTAGCATTAGCATTAAATCAGCTTTAATTAGCATTAAATTAGCATTAATTAGCATTAAATTAGCATTAAATCAGCTTTAATTAGCATTAATTAGCATTAAATTAGCATTAATTAGCATTAATTAGCATTAATTAGCATTAAATTAGCATTAAATCAGCTTTAATTAGCATTAATTAGCATTAATTAGCATTAATTAGCATTAATTAGCATTAATTAGCATTAAATCAGCTTTAATTAGCATTAGCATTAAATCAGCTTTAATTAGCATTAAATTAGCATTAAATTAGCATTAAATTAGCATTAAATCAGCTTTAATTAGCATTAATTAGCATTAAATCAGCATTAATTAGCATTAATTAGCATTAAATTAACTAAATTAACTAAATTAACCAAATTAGCATTAAATTAGCATTAAATTAACTAAATTAACATTAAATTAGCATTAAATTAACTAGACTAGCATTAAATTGCCATTAAACATCTTTAAACTCATTTCTCACATCTTCAAAGATGAGATCGAAGTTGAAATCGTCGAACTGGGTCAACTCATCGGCTTCGCGTTGCTGCTGGAAGTGGATTGAATTGGAAAAAGTGTTGCTAGGGTTTTTGGGTTTAGAAAAGATCATAGATCCGTGTTTTTTCACTATTTAGACCGATTTAGACTCGATTTAGACTATTTAGACCAGCTAAAAAAGAAATCAGAGTTAAAGTGGCCGCCAAACGCGTTTTATGGCTTTACAAGGACTCAGCTGAAAGATACGACAAAACGAATCCCGCCAATCGATTCCTCGACCTCGAAAACCCCCCACGCACAAGTTTTTGCTTTAGATCTTGACTGTGGAACATTCACAAACCAAGAAACCCTAATGTAAATGTTCCTTGGCGAGATGTTCTTTGTGCAGCGACGTAATCGCTATCGATCTGGCACAAGCCGCCAATAGATAGGTGTCCCCTTTTGCCATCTTTGAAGTGGAGGGAACGTTGAGAAACTGAGGCGGCGCTATGCTCAAATTTTCGGGATCACCCCCCGAAGCCCCGAATGAAAGGCCCCGAATCGGCCCGAATGACAATATTCTAATTCTTTCTCAAAGGCTCATTGAGTGCGTCATAATTGTCGCAACAAGCTATCACGCGGGTTCAATGCCAAAAACTTGTTGATTTAAGCCTCATTCCTGATTTGTTTGTGTTTTTATTATATTTGGAAGATATTGCAACGTTTTTCATATAAATGTTTTGTTTTTTAGAATGACTGGAAAATCCTCCATCGACAATCGATCATCGAATTGCAATTGCAATTACTCCTTCAATTGCACAAGGAGTCTCGGCGCTGGAGATTCATAAGCGTCTTAAAGTCAACAGAAGTTTCATTTTCCGCACTATTCAGCGCTATGAAGCTACTGGAAGAATTGCTGATGCACTACGAGCTGCGGGAACAATTGCTGATGCACCAAGAGCTACTGGAAGAATTGCTGATGCACCAAGAGCTACTGGAACAATTGCTGATGCACCAAGAGCTACTGGAAGAATTGCTGATGCACCAAGAGCTACTGGAACAATTGCTGATGCACCAAGAGCTACTGGAAGGATTGCTGATGCACCAAGAGCTACGGGAACAATTACTGATGCACCAAAAGCTACTGGAAGAATTGCTGATGCACCAAGAGCTACAGGAACAATTGCTGATGCACCAAGAGCTACGGGCACAATTGCTAATGCACCAAGGGCTACAGGAACAATTAGTCTTTTTGAGAACACTTTTATACATTTCAGACTACATTATTGATTTACTAAACAATCAAATCAAAGAGAATCTGACTGGAAAAGAATGGGTTTGCCTTAAATTTGCCTGCTCAAATCAAGACAATTAAGGTGAAGCTGAAATTGACAATTAAGGCTGAAATTGACCTAAAAAGTGGATTGATCCCGATCAGTGAACAGATAAAACAAGGATTTCAGATTTCGAAATTGAGAAAAATACCAGTGTCCAATTTTAGAACAGAAAAAAGAAGGAACAAATTTTAAAGCGATTTGATTTGATTTGATTCCCATTTGATTTACCTTTTCTTTTTTAAGTTTCAATTTTCGAACGCCGGCTTGCGCCATTTCTTCGTCATGTGTTGAGAAAAAGGAAGAACTGATGGGGAAAACTTGATCTGCAATAGACGTTGAAAACTTGATCTGCAATAGTAAGTAACAATCTTTGAAGTGACAATTGTAAGAAGCAATGAAAATGGAGATTTATCCGGAATAAGCTTCCTATTGCATTGGAATCTACCACAAATAGATTCCAATGCAATAGGAAGCTCTAATGCACAAGTACCACAAGTAGATTCCAATTCAATAGGAAGTTTAAATTGCTTAGCCTGTTTCCTAGAAATTGGGTAACTAAACCAGGGCTATAGCTTGAGAACCAGGTTGAGAATGAAGGCCAGAAGAAGGCTTACAAGAGTGAACTAGAAGAAGGCTTACAAAGAACCCAAAGAACGCAAAGAACCCAAAGAACACAGCACCCAAAGAACCCAAAGAACCCAAAGAACCCAAAGAACACAGAACACAAAGAACACAAGAAGATCCAAAAATCAATCAATATCAAAATTTAGGATTTAGGGAATAAATTTCCCAATTCAAGGGGTCTGTAAGAAAGGAAATTTCCGAGAGTTCACGTGTTTGTATTCTTTTCGAAAAAAAAGAGAGAACTGTGCAAAGGAATGTCCCCCCCTTTCAATCGAAGAAACGATCGGCCCCAAAATTTCCCCAGCAATAGCTGATAAGAAAATTTCTCCTCCATTTTCTTGAGTTGAATAGAATTAAACGGGGGAAATTTGAGAGAAATTGATGTGTCATTTTTGAGAATTCTCTTGGAGATGATTCATTTTTCACAGCCGATTCACAGCTGATCACAGCACAGCTGATTCGGAAAAGCGTTAGGTTGGGAAAATGAGGAAATCGTTAGGAAATTGAACCGGAAAACTTGAGATTTGACTTGTAAAACTCAAATTTCAAAAATTGTCGGCTCTTTCTGTTGGCGTCGGTCTGTCGGCGTCGGTCTGTCGGCGGCGACGGCGACGGCGACAGAGATTTCTTTTCGGTAGAGATTTGGTTCCTTTTCTCTACAGATTTGGTTCCTTATCTCTCTAAATTTGGTTCATGATTCCAACAAATCTGGTTCCTAATCTCTCTAAATTTGGTTCCTTTTCTCTACAGATTTGGTTCCTTTTCGGTACAGATTTAATCGTCGGTCTGTCGGCGGCGACGGCGGTGGCGACGGCGGCGGCGACAGAGATTTCTTTTCGGTAGAGATTTGGTTCCTTTTCGGTACAGATTTGGTTCCTTTTTGGTACAGATTTGGTTCCTTTTTGGTACAGATTTAATCGCCTTGTTCACAAGTCGCGTAGAAGCTCCAAATTTGAGAAATTGCACGTGTCAAAAGCTCGATTCAATGCTATGATCGCCTATGCAACGCTATGATCGTCTATGCAATGCTATGATCGCCTATGCAATGCTATGATCGCCTATGCAACGCTATGATCGTCTATGCAATGCTATGATCGTCGATCCAAGTCCACTGTCCAATGAACAAAGTGCAATGAACACTCGACTAGACCATCTCTAAAAAACACTAGATAATCAAGAAATTATATCAAATAAGAGTAAAATAACAAATAAGTAAACTAAAAAAACCAAAAGATATAAAATAACATTACAGCTAAATAACAACATTACAGATAAAGCTGACATCCTCAGGCCCATACAATAACATTACAGATAAATAGCACCTTCTAGGGCACACCCATAAGGGTGTGCCCTAGAAACTAGCAAGAATTTGATTTGAATATGTAACGGGGCTCTTTAAACGGTTCCAATGAGCAGCTTTGATTCTTTTTGAAACTGTTTCAATGAGCAGCTTTGATTCTTTTCCATAAACTTTTCAAGTGTCAATAAATCCTTGTCTTTCTTTTTTCTTTCCACCCACGAGCATTCAAAAGAGAGATCTCATCATTTTTCTTTAGCCGGAGAACTCCTTTTGAACTCTTTTGAACTCTCAATTTCCCCTTTGATTCTTGCAAGATACAGAAAAA